ACTTCTGCCGTCACAGCTGCCTGGCCTGCATGGAGGCCATTCACAGCCAGGGGCCCCAGCCACCCCCTTCTGCCTCCAGTTAATGAAAGCAGCATTGGGATCCTAATGACTGATCAAAGCCGAGCCAGCTTCTCCGGGATGGCACGGGCCCTCCCAGAGTGGGAGCAGAGTGCACACAGAGATGCCTCGTAGGGACAAGAGGGACCTGTCTGGGTCCCCTACCAGTCCAGACCCAGCTTTAGCCTTCCCCTGGCAGAGCAGGTGTGACATGGCATCAGCCTGCACTCAGGTGTGCAAACATGACTCTGCTGGGGTTTTGAACAGCATTCTCTCACCCCGAGGGTTGCTAGCGGATGAACAGTATGGGAATGTAGCTTTTTGTCAAAGGGGCCCAGGAAAATGCTTGACTCCTTTTGTGGCAAACATCCCATACTGGTCTGAATCTTGGTCTGTCTTGCTCTCTGGTCAGTAAAGGGCTTGTTCTTAGTGAACTGCCAAAGCTGTTTTTTTGTTTGTTTACTTGTTTTTTTTTTTTTTTTTTTGTCTTTTTCCTTTTTATCGGTACTGGGGATTGAACTCACGACTGCCTGCTTGCAAGGCAGGCACTTATGCCGCTGAGCTAAATCCCCAGCCCCTTGTTTTGTTTTTTTGAGACAGGGTTTTGCTCTGCAGTTCAGGCTGGCCTTGAACTCACTTTGTAGCCTAGGATGGCTTCACACTCACAGGACCCTTTCTGCCTCAGCCTGCCATGTGCTGGGATTACAAATGTGTGCCACCACATCCAATCTTGCCAAAGCTTTGGGTACCACCATTGGAAGTACACTACATAGACATCTCACTACCTATCAGTTTGTTCTAAACTTCACTATCCACTGAGTGCTGTGTCTACACTGTGCCTAGTGAGTCAGACCAGGGTGCATAGGAGTTCTGTTTTCTCATGCATCCTGACTTGCTGGGGACACACAGACAAAACTCTAAACACCAGGTACATACACAGTAAACCAGACAAAACGTGTGTCTTGCCTGTAAACCAAGGACAAAGATTCATGGCACCACTGGTAAGTGTGTGTGTTTTTGGGGAAGAGTGGAGAATGGGTGCTGACAGCCAGAGTCTGTTTTCGGTGGATAACAGTTTGTCTTTGCTAGTGAATCCCAGGGGCTTCCAAGTGGCTAGTAGGGCTGCAGAAGGGAGAGCCTCGCTTGGTAGATGCTGGGAAGTGAGAGGATGGCATTTCCAGGTGGAGAGAGAGTGCGGGAAGGAAGGTAGATCCCTAGGAGCCAGAGGGAGGTGGTTACTGAGAAACCCTCGGGGTGGGGGTGGGGGGGGCTGGAATGACATTTGCTGCAATTCTAAGCATGAATAAGAGAGAGGAGCAACTTAGAGGGTTCCACTGCAGTGAGTGGGGTGCTGGGCAGTGGAGGAGGGGTTCTGAAACTCCTGGTCACAGTGAGGGCCAGGCCTACAGAGACAGAGTTGCAGAACGGAACGGGAGTGATAGAAGAATTAACACAGTTGCACTAAACTGAGAGTAATATACACCCAGCTCATCTCCAGGCCTCTCTGGAGAAAATGTTTTCGTTAAACAATCCTCGTGGCACTGCATGATCTCTGGTGACTCATTTCTACTTAAGAGTTTCAAGTGAGGCTCAGTTTGGAAGACCCAGCTCCAGCCTGCTAGACGGGAGGTGTTTTAGTTGGACAGTAGAGGGCGCTGCTATCTTATTACAATTTAACCATTTGACCGGAAGGAGGAAGTAGTCTACAGGAAGGGTCTCAGTGGGTTCTTGCTTTTGCACTTTCTAGAAGCACGATAAACAGAGTAATGTCCTTGTGAGTGATCACAGAGTCTGCCCTGGATGGACTGAAACAGAACTGAGGAGTAGCAGGCATTGGCCATTCTGCCACTTGGCTTATCCCCAATAGCATGGGGCCGTAACCATTAATGCTTCTCTACTAAATGGGAAGAAGAAAAGTCTCCCTCATTTTTAATAATTTTATTCCCCAAACTTTAAAAATGAAATTGCCAACTTAAGAACTTGCCTTGAAAAAAAAATTCTAATTTATTATGAAGAAGGTCCTGGGCTTGGGAATTTTTTTTATGTAGATTCCTAATTTTCCAAAGTGATGCTCTCCTGTGCATTGGAATAGATTATACTCAGTATTGCTAGCCCTCAGCACAATGGGAACATTATTAAAACGATTGCCTGGGTCTCGGAGGAAGGGCTCTACTTCTCTCTTCCTTTCTCATTTTGGGGACCTCATATCAGAGACTGTCCATTTCTCGCCTGGGGAAGAAACTGGCTTTCTAAGGAGGTGACACGGATGTGCTCACTGTGCAGGCCTTGAGGAAACAGATCACACAGGGGCTAGAAGTCGTGAGATGAGACCTAAAGGTGTGAGGAGGGAGTGGACCTCGTTCCAGAGGGCTCATTTAGGATGCTCTGTGTCCCTGACCTGTGCCTATTAGTCTGGACTTTCCTGGAAAAAAGAAAAAAGGCTGGATGTCCACGAGCAGCTGGCTCTTTCGGATAACAGCGTGAAGGGGGAAATGGAGCAGAGCTTTCCCCTGAGGAGCTGGGGTCTGCTCTTGGAAGTAGAGGGGGAAGGAGGACCAGCGCAGGTTTTCAAGTTCTTGGTGACCAAGTGCACATGAGGAGTTGTTCCTAAAAGTTGTTCCTGAAACAGTGGGAGAACAGCTCGCAGAGCCAGGTGACCTCAAAGGGAAGCCTTAGTCCTGGCGCCTCACCCCCTCCTCTCTTTCCCCAGTTCCCCCCTGCTCTAGCTTCTCATCTGGATCCTCTTTCTTGGGAGTCAGCCTGGCCCAGGAAAGGCCAATAGCAACCTAGTCACAGCCTAGTAGCTTAACCAAGGCCACGAAGACCTCAAGACCTCAAGACTTCCTGGCAGGTACGGTGTTCCTGAGTCACTAGCTTTACGGGCAGACACAGTTCCCCCAGGGCAAATTATTCCTCACAGAGGAGTCTCAGCACGGTCCCCACATCTGGCTTTGGCTCTAACTTCCTCCTTTCCTCAAAGGCCAGAGCAGCTCAGCAGTGGGGAATGAGGGCGTGAGCCCCTTAAGGCTCCATCACCTCCCTTGACAGCTGGAATTTATTCATCCAGCTGTATGCTAAGAATTAAATTAAGCTCCTCGGTCAGCATTCTTGGAGGACACAGGCCCTTGCCATAGCTTTCCTGCTAATCCCACTGAGCCAAAACTTCCCCCAGCTTCCCAGGTAGGCCAAGCAGAAAGGGGCAGGAGGGAGGAGCAGCGGCCAGCAGCTGAGCCCATCCCAGCCCCCTGCCCTACAGCCTGCCCTCATAGCCCTTGAACCCCAGCCTCACACTCGCCGCCTGCTGGGCGGAGGAAGTGCTCCCACCCTGCATCCTCTTTCCACTGGAGAGCTCGGAAAGCAGCGTCCAGTGACAAGAGAAATGAAGCCAAAGTTCCTGCTCTTCAGACCCCAGGGGAGCTGGGGCAGATAGGGGTCCGTGTCTATGCAGGAAGGCTGGGTTTTTGTCCCCTAAATGTCCTCTCTTCTTGTCATTTTTTTTTATTTCACCATTGAGGGCACCTTTTGAACTTCAACTCCAGGACTTGGGACGTAGATGGAAGTGTCCAGACAGAGTGCGGATATCTGGAAGCTTCCAAATAAAGGCCAAGTGTGGTCCTGCAGTCATTGTGGGCAGAGGACTTGCCGCCCCTGAGATGCATTTGGGGAAGGAGCCTGAAGTTGCTATGTGAGGCAAGGCTGGGGACTCAAGACCACATGCTGGACGGGTCAGTGAATGACAGGCACTTTTGGACTTTCAGGGCAGAAGAAGTCAGGGTGGTCACTGCAGAGTGGCCCCATCTGATAACTTCATGGGAGCAGAGCGACCTCGAGGATGTGGCGAGCAGCTGCCCCGGCCTTAGGGTTTGCTGTGGGAAAGCCTCTCCCTTTCGCCAGCATCTAACACTCTTCCTGCTTCAGAGACCTCCTTCCAGGTCTGTGAGAAGGGCTGTGTTTGAAATGCTAATAAGCCAGGGAAATCAGCAAGGCAGAGAAAGGCTGCTGGACGAGAGGGGGGCACCCTGTCACACAGTAGGCACTTTCTAAATGGGGCTTGAATGAATGAGTGAACATTTTAGTGGGCGCATTTCAATGGCAGGTGCTCAACAAATAATTACTGAATTCATCCTGACCCAAGAGACCAGGGTGGAAAGAACCAGAGAACACGACGGTAAAGGTCAGAGAACAGAGCCTTTGTACAAAGGATCAGCTGCAAAACTCAGGCTTGCAAAGACTGGAGGGTGGGTGGGGGTGCCCCAGGGGAGGCAGACCTGAAAAGGGATCAGTCTCCAGGACTACAGGAGCTTGCTCAGAAAAGCCAGGCAGCTTTCGGAGCGGCAAAGGGACAGGACAGGGCCACAGTGAGAAGGCAGTGTCCAGGAGGGGCTGATGCCCGGAGCAGGACTTGTAACCAAGAAGCAAGTCTTGGAGGAACCTGACTGCTTAGCTGCGGATGGGCACTGGGAAGAGACGGGAAGCAGCAGGAGTGTGCCCAGCAAGAGCCTGGCTGTTTCCAGGGAGAAGCCCAGGACTGTCCCAGTTGAGAACAGACATTCTTCCAGGCAGACCACAGGAGCAGGAAGTTGCCAAACACTCAGAGGTGGGCTCTGCTTACAGTTTCTGCCTGTGTCTCAAGCGTGCATCTTACCCTGACCGTGACACAGGGGTCCAGCTGCACTTTCTGAGGCTAGCAGGGTAGAGGCAGTGGGCAAGTGTCCATGACCACTACTCCAGATTATGGCCCTGGTGACAGAATGACCCCAGTAGGGCATTTTGTTGAAGGCAATGAGTCCCTTGGGAGTCTGTGTTCATAAGGACTCCCTGCATAGGTCTCCAGGGCAATTCCTGGGCAGATATGACCCTGCTTATTGCTCTGGAGGACCCCCAACCCATGGGATTCCCAAGGCCACCACACTCCCTCCCAGCGCCTTCTGTGGCACACTCACCTGCGGGCTGTCCTGGTAGGGTGGGGGAGGGACATTCTGCGTGGCCATCATTGTCAGAGCTGGGGCTGGGGAGGCATGTTGCATCATGGGATTGATTCACATCGAGGATCTGTGGGCAGGAGAGAGGGGCGCACTGTTAATGCCACTGAGCAAGCGCAGGTGAGCCCTGGGACCAGCCTGGGCCACCTGGACTGACAGGATACAGCCAGGGCAGGAGGCCCTGCAGAGGAACACAGGAGAGCTCAGGGGAGAGGCTGCGCAGGAGGGTTTGCTGTGCTATTTTTGACTTGAAAGAAACGATATTCAAATCATATGTAAAACAACCTGTGCCCCTGCAGCGATGCTTTGTTCAGCAACAGCTCTGGCCTGGTGTGTGGGGAGGGGGAACCTGGGGCTGGGGAGGGCAGCCAGGCTGTGGCAGCCTCATGGGGTTGGAGGCTACTTGGATACTCCCTTCACAGCCCAGCCTACGAGAGTCTGGAGCCTCAGCTTGTCCCTCCTGACAAGGGTGCTCCTTGGCATGCAAGAAGCCGCCATGCCAGCTCCCCCGCCCTGGGGTCTCCAAGCACCAGGTCCTTCCACCTGAGTGTGCTCACCACACCCCCTAGTGGCGGCAAGGGATGTGGGCTGCTGGCCCCTCAGAGTGCAGCCCAAGAGGGGCGGAGGGCAGAGGGGGGCTTGGGGAGGGCAAGAGGCAGAGGGATGATAGTCACCTCCTGGGTTTTCAGGTGCAGGCTGTGACTCCAGCACTTCCTTTAGCCTGGCGTCATATAGGACCACAGGCACGCGGGGCCAGAAGAGCTGTCAGAGCCAAAAGGTTGGCTCACCTCTTACGGAAGTGACAGGGAGCAAGAGAAGTGGGTGTGTGTGTGTGTGTGTGTGTGTGTGTGTGTGTGTGTGTGTTGCGTGCATGTGTTCCATGTCTGCTTCACTGCATCACATCCCACCACACAATCAGTAAGTGAGCTGCCCCCACGGGGCCTCGAAGTTTCTTCCTGAACCAGAATGTGGTTCTGTAAATGGAGACAGCTTGGCAGTCCCACCCAAGGAAACACAATGCCCTGAGCACCACTGAGCTACAGCAGATGCCCTGCCGTAGTTAGAGCCGGAAACCACAGCTACCTGCTGATAGAGGGTGGCCCATCACTGCTGGAGAATGCTCTGGGGTGCAGGACATGTGCATGTGCGTAAGATGTTCTCTTCGCTGTTTTCAGAGAGGTGAGGAAATCTCCGACCTAGCCTGACCTGAGCTTCCAAAGTACTAGGCCCGCTTGGTTCTCAAGTGCACACATGAACCAATGGGATTCACGTTTCATTCAGGAGATATTTATCACATCTCAGTTGTGTACGGGGAATGGTGCGAGGAGCTGAGGCAGGCTGGAGGAATGAAGCCAGGTCTTCTCTCCAGAGTGTGGTTGCTAGAGGGAGGTGACAATCTGCAGGAAAGAAGAAGGCCGGGTGGGTGTGGCGGAGTGTGTGGCGGCTTTTCCTGTGTGGGGCAGTCCTGCTAGCCTTGGCCTGGGCCTCTCCTTACACAGGGCTGACCTCAGGAGACGGGCCAGCAGGACACTCTGTGATAGAAGCAGCCAAGATGTCACCCATCTTATGCACTACAGACACTGAGATCCAGACTTTCTCTGTTGCACAGGGGCTCAGTAGAGAGCCGTGAGAGGAGGCAGACAGTCTCCCCCTCAGGCAGGCAAATTACCAGTGTGAAGTCTTATCTTCACTCAGGGGCTTCCATACTGGAAGAAAAGGAGAAAAGTGTTTTTTTTTCAGTACCAAGGACTGTACCCAGGGTCCCCTTGAGTCTTTGAGGCAAGCATTGCACCACTGAGCTACCCCCGCAGTCCAAGTACAGATTCCTTGAGACATTAGAAATTCCAGAGTTAAGACTTAGAGATATTCAGATGGGTGTGGAATCGCACCCTTTGGGCCCTGAGAGAAGAGAGGAACCATGGATGATTCGGAGGTGTGTTAACTACGACCTTTCCCCTTTGTTGGATGGAGACAGGATCATGATTCTAGGTCCCTTCCCCAGAGCACCAATCCTAGACGCTCATTGGGTAGGAAACCTGAAAGGCTGCAGTTCTAAAAGCTTCCAGAAGAGGGAGCCTCGGGGCAGAGTTAGGCCTGGAGCCGCATTTAGGAAGGTTTTTCACCCCTCTTTTTGGGGCCACTGGTTCCCTAAAACCCTGAGCTTGGGGCTTTTGGTAATTTCATTCTGTAAATGAGAAATCCGTACTGAAGGCAAAGCAAAGAAATGCAATGAAGAGGATGTGGACTAAACAGAGAGTCTGTAATCCATTCTTTTGTTCACTGGGAAATGAATGGGAGGCAGGGTCAGTTTGGAGACCCTGCCCTTAAGCATCATGGCTGCCCTGTCTGGGGGCGGCAGGGACCCTTGAGTGGTCTGCACCCAGAGACAGCCATCCGCCAGGCGGAGACCCTTGTTAGTCTGCAGCCTGCTGAGCTATGACGGGGTCAGAACCAGCTCTGCCTGGGCAGAGGAGCAAGAGGACTTTTCTGAAGCTCCAGATGGCCCCTGCCCCCCCCCCCCCCCCCCGTCACCACAGGCCACAAGGCCACTGCCCCAATGCCCTCCAAGGTCTTCTCCTGCGGGAGAACAGGAGGCCTTTTCAGCAGGGGCTTAGGTTTCTTTATCTGCTCAGCGGGGCATGGAAGCCTCTGGCAACTTGACACTGGGGAGATCAGCTGCACCCACGCTGGAAGCTGGCTGTGTTCATTCACCCTCCGCCCGCACACGAACCCTGTCCTGCTCAGTCCTCCCTGGGGGGCGCATGCAACCATGCTGGAAAGGACTCCAGGGGTTTGATGATCCTGCCAGGGGCTTGGCTGAGGCTCTAGGGCCTGGGCAGAAGGCCCTAGGCAATAGGGGGGTCCCGGCCCTTGGGGAAGACCTGGTCTTGGTGCACTTTCTTTGGGAGCAGGAACGGAAGGCTGATTGCCTGCGCTTTTGTTAGGGACCCCAGGAGGCCGTAGCTGTGGCCAGGGGCCCTGGGCTTCTGTCACCAGATACCATGGCATTCAGGGAGCAGAGCCAAGGCTGCAAATGGAGGGCACATAAGGTACATTTACCGGGAGCAAGTGCCCCATTCAGGGCAGGCTAAAAGTGCTGAAAACCTTTATTATATGACAGCTTAGGAGGGAGAAAAAAGAAACTGATGCAACACCCAGCTCCACACTGATATCCAAGAGGAAATAATTTGTGTCACTGATATTGTCATTCAGAGAAGTTGAAGATGACATTTTAGACTCTGAGGCCTTGAGGGACTCGAAGTGGATGAGGGGCACAAGAGGAGACCTCTTTCGGAAACAGCTGTGTACACTTCAGGGACACCCATCCCGCTCTGTCCCCTCAGCTTCAGCTCCCCCCAGCCTGCTCCGTGAGGACCTGAACGCCAGCATGTTGACAAACAGGCTTAGGAAAAAAAAATGCCAAGCTCGTTAGAAGGAGCTCATTAGGACTTGTTGACATGAAACCCATTAGACCAATTAACATTCCATTAACAGCCTAGAGCACCAAGGGGTTAATGCTGCCGGGCAGTAATTGGGCCAGGGTGCAGGGGTTAGGGGCTCAGGGCCTTAAGGATGAAAAACAAAGTCTAATTGGGGGCTGTGTGGACAGGAGGCCCAATAGAATTTGTCCCTGGCCCCTGGTCCTTGCTGCCACTAAACTGTATCCGGAACTGGGATACCAGAAGGTGGGAAGGGCCCAGCTTCCCACTGCCCCACCACCTGGCTCCAAACTGTAGCCTGGGCTGGCACAGGACAGGGGGAGGGGACCCTTCCACCCTGAGTCCTGAGTGCTGTGCTCTTCACCTAGAGTCTCTCCCCTTCCAATTTCTTGTCCGTGTCTTTCCTAGAAAACTGAGTCTCGGGGCTGGGGATTTAGCTCAGCAGCATAAGCGTCTGCCTTGTAAGCAGGCAGTCGTGAGTTTGATCCCTGGTACCGATAAAAAGGAAAAAGACCAAAAAAAGAAAAAAAAAAAAGAAAAGTGAGTCTCCTATCTGTAGGGACTGGTTTTCTGCAATGTTACGCACTCTCAGAAAAAGAAAAAGAAAAAGAAAAAGAAAAATTCCTGGAAAAGCAGGAATCCTTGAGGCCCAAGATTCCAATGCATCCCAGGAGTATTGCAGTTGAGGACAGGGGTTAAAAGAGTAGTTCTGGGCTCTCTTCCTCCCTCTCTTTCTCTTTGCTTCCCCTCAGAGTCCTTCTGCTACCCCAACACACACACACACACACACACACACACACACACACACACACACACACACGCGTGCTTTCACAACCCCTCTCCCTCACTGGAAGTAGAGGCTATGAAGCCTCATGACAGGACAGGGTCTCAAGTCCTCATCTGGGAACTCAGATGGACAAGAGGACCAGGAGGTCACTCTCAGCTTTCTTTTTTCTTTTTCCTTTCGTTCTGGGATCTAACTCACGACCTCATGCCTGCCAAGCAGGTGCTGTGCCACTGAGCTATATCCCCAGCCCACCCCCAGCTTTGAATCCCAAGTTACAGCCTGCGTTTAGGGTCCCAAGGCTGGATTCCACACCCAGCAGAATCTGCCACTCCACTGTGGCCCATATAGGTCTCTCTCATGCGTTGCAGAATGAAAGGATTTCCCCAGCACACCCTGAAAGTCTGCCCACAGTTAGCACTCCACGCATGCCTGTTGAATTGGCTGCCAACTGTTAGATACAGCTTCTTTCTGAAGACCAGCCACCTCTTCTCTGCTCTTGCTCTGGTCTTGGCTCTTTTGCAACTGGGGAAGGGTCTCCAGGTTCAGCCAGACTACCCAAGGCAGCCCCTCTACCCCATTCCCCAGCCATCCCCTTTACACAGCTGCCCAAGCAAGGTTCTGACAGCTTTGCATGAGGCTGAAATAACACAGTGAACTCAGCAGGAGGGACCAAAAAGCTGCATTAGTAAGCTGGCTGGCTTTAACCCCTTCTGGGGCAGTCACCTAAGCCAGGGTGAAATCCCCTTTCTTTTTCTTTCCTGGCAAACTTCGTCCTGTGCCCTTCCCAGAAACAGCCTGTAGGTGGTGTGGCAGGGCCCTCTTTAATTGCATTATATAATATAA